TTATTATTTTTTTTGAATGGATTATTACCACCGAAAAAGCGATCTGACAATTGATTAACAACTGGGTTCCTACTTACTGCTAGGTAAACAAAGGTGTAAAGTAAGGAAACTTGCCTAACATTTCGCCCTGCCCAGGAATCCAACCCATCTCCTCTCGCTTGTGAGGCGAGTGCTCTAACCACTGAGCTACAGGACTCCACAACAGGACTCCACTCTCTAAATGGGGATGTGACACTAGGAATGACATGAAACAGTAACACAAGATCTGCAATCCACAGCAGCAGCAAATGCCTTTTTTGCTGGACATATCAAGCCTGTAATTCGAATCAGGAGGAACACGGTTATTCCACGGGCATCTAGATAAGGCAAAACAAACATTTGGCTGGCAGAATTTTTTTTGTGCTAGGACTTTCATTTTTTTTTGTACGTGCGTGCAATAAAGTGGCCTAAACAGTCCCAGCAGCATCTGTTGACAACAAAAGAAAATGAACTGCTCGAAAACAGCCCTCACTCCCCCCCCCTTCCCAGCTAAACACAAATCAATGAATCATTCAGTCAATGAGGCTTTGTATCACTGTGTCTATAGCCTCAGTCAAAAAAAAACATGCTGCAATCCAGCACAGTCTGCTAGTGTGTTCACCTGTGCTGGAAACTGCTGTGTGTTCATCTGCCCTGACAGGCGGAGTTAGCAGTGTTGTGTGCCTGTGAGTCTGTGTGAGTATGTGTGTGTCTGCGAGTTGGGAGTGAGTGAGAGTGTGAGTATTTGTGTGTTTGTATGTAGAGTTGCCATCTTTGAGAGGCAAAAAAAATGGCAAAGATTGAAAATAGACGTCCACCAACTCAAAATAGCCCATCATGGAGTTCAGTCAGCACATAACACCTCTCCTCTCAGAACTTTCCCACTTATTTCCTTGAGAGCTACAGTACATTATATCATGCTCCCTTACTCCCCACACTTCCACCCCCCGACAACTCACTAATACTGCAAATTGTACACAGTTTAGGACCACACAATTTCAGCAAAAGAGGCTTTCCTCATATTTCTGCCCTGACTAATCCATTTAAACAGCAATAGACAAGCGCCATCACACAGCGCTCCTGTAACAGAGCATTCCTGAGAAGTTCCATATTTACAGTCTTTCGGCTAAACTACACATAAGTCTTAAGAGTGTTGCTCGAAGAATCTAACCAGCAAATGAGAACCTTTTCATCTGGGATCGGTATCTGCAAAAACACCACACACACATCTCATCCAAATCACTAAGAACTGGGTTTCAAATGAAACAAAGAAACGCGAGATGCAGGTTAGAATCATTCCCAGGTAAAGTTACATGGTGTGAAGCGTAAAGTTACAAAGCAACAGAGCTGAGAAGTGTGGCAGAAGGTTAAGGGTTTAAACATTCAGTGCCTCTCTCTTCCCCTTCAGTGAGACAGTGAGCCCTCCAGTAAACCCAGCTCAGGAAATAACCATTGAACCAAAGATATTTCCTGCAACACTCTCTAAGGGTCTAAATGTAAAAGGAAAACTGTTGCCACATCAAAGAAGAACTACAGGACTTTGGATGTAAGGAGCCAATTCTCCATGGAGAGGATTCTGTCACCTTGTGGTCAGTTGGTGTCTGACACACACTAGTTTGAGATGTTCGTTTGAGACATTCAAAATAAACATCCTCGCACTAAAACATCACAAAACACTTTAGAGGATTTACTGTAAAGTGACTGTATGTTTGTAGGAAAATAATTTGAACACAGCAGTGTCCCACAAACAGCCATGAAGTGAGTGACCAGTTTTATCTGGGGGATTGTTGGCCAAGACACCAGGAGAGAGAGAGAAAAACTCCCTTCTCTTTTCAAATAGAGCCATGGGATCTTTAACATGCACTTGAACAGGCATCAGTAGCACAGCACCTCTGGTAATGCAGGGCTCACAGCTCTCCTGCAGTGTAATTGTTGGTAAACACCTTTTTGTGTCCCAAATAGCCCTGTGGTGAAAGTTCTCCATCTGCACCGATGACTGTAGGTCTGTGGGACACTGGTTGCTGCGTTTGCCAACAAAATATACAGTCACTACACCTCTGAAGCCATTCAAGACTTCCCCCGACGTGAGAAGCTCTATATCAAATGCAAGGATTATTATTATTACTGCACTAGAAAATTTTGAATATTAAATCTTGACACCCATCTTCAAACTGCACGGTATGATAAAATAAACACCAATTTATGTTCTTTACAATAATACTGCACTTTTATAAGCAACTATACAACTATAAGATGGCACCATCAAACATTCACAAAACATCTGATGCAAACATTTACTGTTAACCTTCACCTATCTTTAAACTGATGCAAAGAGATTATTTCACAAGGACAGGAGCAGATAATTATTGGAGGTAAAATATTCACACAGAGAGCTAACATATACACACAACTTCTTCTTCATATTGCACTTATTTGGCCTATTTGTCCCCTCGAAGGGGAAGTTAGTTTGACAATTTGGAATGTGTCGCTGGCAGATTCGATGGCGTGAAACCATAGTTTCTAAGCAATGGGAAAAGTGGAGTTTTATACAGATGTGTTTGGAACAACCCTTTCTCTCTCTCCCCCCCCTCTCTCTCTCCCCCTCGCTCTCTTCACTGAAGTCCTAACACCACGTGGGAGCAATAATAAGCTGGAAACCCCCCGAGTTGTTACAAATCACGGGGCCGAGTGTCTATATTCGTGCAACAAATTAGAGAATTGGAATCACTGTACAAAGGGGAGATCACTGCTGAACCCATTTGATGAGCAAACAAACCATGGAGCAAAAGGCAGCAAACGTTACATTGAAACTGCAGCATCAATCAATGAGGCTGTGGTCACAATTGTTACCATGAAGACATCTTGCTCCGGGGCTATTGAAGGGGACGTGAAAGCAGGAGTTCACCTCGATTCTGAGAACAGAAAAGCAAATTGGGTGGTGGTGGTGGGGGGCGGGTAGTAAACTTGAGGGGGGATGTGGAAGAACGGGCTTGTGGTAGACTACAGTTAGGATAGGGTGGTTTCTGGAGGCAATTTTCCTTCGAGACCTGAAAAAGGGGAGAATAACCATGGAAGATCAGAGGGCGATCCTTTTTCAAAATAAATCAGCTCTAAATTTATTACAATCCAATCCCAGTGAAACAGAATAACACGGTAACACGGTCTCATTAGTGGGCTTGCAACTGGGGAGTTTGGAGATGGTGAGCTGGTGATTGCTTTGCATTCTGTTTGACACTCACTCCTGTTTGCACAGCACAGCTTGTCAGACAGGACAGTTGTACTAGAGACTCGGTGTCATTATATAAGACAGTGTAGTGTATCTCAACCGCTTGCCAACACCAATCTCCAGGTTGTTTTGACAGAAGACACTTTAATGCGCACCAAGACATCCACAGTGAGACATACACACGCACACAAACACACACCACACTCACACATCAGACATATAGGACAATAGAGGACTCTACTGCATATACACTGTGTTATTTATAGGTCAATTAGAACAGTAAATAAGGGATTTTGTTTTGGAATCAGGATATAATTTTGATTTATGTAACTCGTTCCATAGCAAAATGAAAAGGGCCTTTTATGATTGAATTTTTGGGTGTATTTTTTTTGTGTGTGCGGGGGGGGGGAAGAAAAAAATCAGACCATTTCGTATGATTGTAACAAACCAATCAACTGGAAGTCATTTGGGTATTAATTGGGGCTTTTGAATCAGTATTTAAAAAAAGAGAAATTGGGGCGAGAGACGAGGTGGTAGGTTTTGCACTAATAACTCCAAACGTTAGTAACAGGTGTTTTCCAGTCTGAAATTGCACAGGGGTAGAGGCAAAGCTTCAATTTTGTACATAGATCCAACCTCAGATAAGATCTCTTTCTCTGCCATTGTTATAATAATAATGATAATAATCCTTGCATTTTGATATAGTGCCTGATCACATAGTTGAGAGGTCTCAAAGCACTTCACAAAATACATTGTAAAGTGTTGTTAATGTGTATTTTGTGGGTGAAATACAGCAGCCAATTGCACACAGCAGTGTCCCATAAATAGTCATGGATTAATTGACCCACTGTTTTTTTCTTTGGAGGGATTATTACCCCCAGAATGCAATCCGCCAATCAACTAACAAGCGGGTTCCTACTTACTGCCAGATAAACAGAGGCTTGTGGAGCAAGAAAACTTGCCTAAGATTTCACCCCGCCCGGGAATCAAACCTGTGTCTTCTCGCTCGTGAGGCAAGTGCTGTAACCACAATGCTAAGGGACTCCACTCCGTCCTACTTAGCACATCAGTTAGCCCACCATTCCGCCCCCTCTACCACCCCCCTCCCCCACACATTGGATTTAGCTGCCACTCTAAACCCAATGATCTGTTCTGAAATGCTGTTATCCCTCTTCCCCATATTCCCAAGTATTGTTTTGAAACTATTCATCTAAACGTGAGGTTTTGTTTGAATTCTGCACCCTCAATGGTCTATCACTACAATACGCTTTTCTTTGTAACTGTCAGAGAAACTGCAGTAGAAACCATTGAAAGATTTGCTTTCTTCCCTGTTACCCTCAAAACCTGGGGATTCTCCCTTCAGAAGGACATGAAAGACACAATATGATTGAATTTCAGACGCAACCCTAATCACCCTGTAACAATACGTTATACAGCAAAACAGTCTGATCTATATAAACTATAGAACTGCCAGAGTCTGGGTCAAGACTTTATATTCTATGCAGATTCGACATAACTCATATTTTGCATAAATCATATTAAATATCTGGTCCCAACTCATACGACTGATGTGAAGTTTAGTGTGTATGGTAAAATATTTGATGCAATTCAACATCCACTTAGTGTAACAGCAGGCAGGAATCCTTACAGTAGTGTCTTTTCTTTAAAAACATTTAAACGTTATCTTGAAACTTATATATTTTTAAGGGACAATAAATAAATATCTTGCTTTCTCCCTCCCTCCCCGTCTGTGTAATGTGGAGTGAAAAGAGATGGAAGAAGTGAGTGTGTGGGGTGGGATGGGAGGTGGAGGGTTGAGAAATTGATTTTTCCCAAATTACATGCAACTACGGGATGACTGAGGATTAAAGCGGGGCAGGGAATGGCGAGGTTACTGGGCTGGCAGGTCACTAACAGGCGCAGTTCTGCTGGGTTTGGGGCGAGCTCTCTGTCAGCCGTGTGTTCTTGTTGCTGATCATCGAGGGGTCGGTGTCGAGGCTCTCTGACATCTTCTCACAGATGACATCCACGAGACGCTCAAGACCTGTTTGACGTTGATGTTATCTTTGGCGCTCGCCTCGAAAAACTCAAAGCCTGTCGTAGAGAGAAAGGTCACAGAGTTATTGCCACAGTCTGTGCAGCACAAACCTTGTCCATACCTCTGTTTGTACTCCACAGAAGCCCCCCACCCCAACCACCCCACACACTTCTTACTCACTCCCATTTTCGTCTACTTTTCGCCCTCAGAATACACAGTCAATCTACATTATAGTATATTCTGTGAAGCGCTTTGAGACGGCTCGACAACGATTATTATTATCCTCTTCATGCGTGTATCTAGTTCCTTTTAAATGCATCTATACTTCATGCTTCAACCACCCACTCTGGCCATGAGATCCACATTCTCACTACCCTGTTGTTATTGTTCTTGTCGTACCCACTGTGGGAAGAATTTTCTCCTAAATTCTCTTTTAGATCCTCTGGCCACTGGTTATGGCCTCCCCAACAAGTTGGAACAGCCTCTGATAGAGAGTGGCCTTCCTTCCATTAGGTACATAATCTAATCATTATCATTGCCTTTGACGATTGACCCAGGTGGGGTGATTGATGTAGTAAATTAATGAAACGGTAAATTCATTTTCGCATCTTAATTTCTCTCCTGAAAATGAAGATCCTTTATGCATATTGTCAAGGTCACCGGGGACATCTCAAACCAAATAAACAAATCCTCAATGTCTCCTCTAAGCCAAGGCAGCGCGGGTCAGGAGTTGGAAACTGTGGGGTTGGAAGCAACCAAGTTCCTTTCAAATAGTAATGGGATTCTTCAAAAAATAACTGCAATTCCCAATAATGTCCTGCAGATGGAACGCTTGCAATAATACAACGCTGCAATAAAGAGGTGAGGTGATAAATCTGCTCCTAATACCAAGTGCTGGGATGTGATAATAATAATAATGTGATGTGACTAGGAATGGGATGTCCCCCGCTCTCCCCATTGTTTTTTTTAATTCCCTGAGGATATCATTCCTGGAAGCTGGAGGACAGTTTTATAACCAAACAAAGGTATTATTAGTGCTTCCCACTCAAAACAGCTGTGTTCAATGTTTCATTCGTCACCCACTGACCCGTTTCAACAACACCTCACATCAATATACTTTTGGGCCGAGCAATTTCCCTCAACAAATTAAATTGCTTTGATATGCGGTGACTGTGTTACTGGTGATTAAGTGCGGAACTGATGAACAGATGGTCTTTGAAACCTGCCTGGCTCTATTATAAGTAATATGGAGATAGAGGTTAGATTTATGAGAGTAGTTTTCTTCTGCTCTCATAAATCTAACCTCCATCTCACACACACACATTGCCCCCCCCAACACACATGCCCCCCCCACACACACTGCCCCCCCCACACACACTGCCCCCCCCCCGCGCACACACACACTGCCCCCAAACCCCCCCGCACACACATTACCCCCCACATACACACACACACTGCCCCCCCACCCAAACATACACACATTGTCAGAGGTGCCATTCTGTGGGTGAGATTTTGAACCACTATTTGAAAAGAGATGGGAATCCTGGCCAGCAATCCTGTGGATAAAATTTATAATTTATTCCGTGGCTGTTTGTGCGACATTGATGTGTGCAAATTGGCTGCTGCATTTGTCGTACAAAAACAAACAGTCACTACACTGTACAGTAAAGCCTGTGAAACATCCTCAGAGTGTAAGAAAATGCAAAGATTATTTGTTTAGAGTGTAAACCTTAGAATGCTGCTGTTGACTATTGAACAACTTCGTCACCTATAAACTGTGACACACACATAATAATAATATTATTTCTTGCATTTGATATAGTGCCTTATCACGTTGTTGAGACGTCTCAAATCACTTCACAGAATATACTGTAAAGTGAATTGACTGTATATTTTGTGTGTGAAGTGTGGCAGCCAATTGCGCACATCAGCATCCCACAAACAGTCGGGGATTGAGTGACTACATTTTTTTATTAACATTTCCGTCATCTGTACAACAGATGGAAACCCAGGTCCCAGTGCCTTGCTAGCCTTGTTGTACTCAATCCAACTCATTTTTCTTGTTTGTGAAAAATCTCGGTGAGCTGTCTTAAAGGAGCTCCATCCCTTCTCATCCAACTTGGTAAACGTGGATCAGAAAGACTTAGTTCCTGAATGATATGAAGCACTGTGTGAATCCAGCATTGCTGTTCTCTACTCACTGATAAGCCTCGGGGTCACTCAAAGCTGAAAAACAGCTCAGCTCCAATCCACCATTCGACATTCAATGCGATTCCTATCGATTTTCCGCATTGGTGGATTTAGAGACGACCAATCTAGAGAGCATCGCCTCAGAGCCACAGATGAGGGTTTAAGAGAGAGATGGATGGATTGCGGGAATGATAAATAATAAGGGCTATGGCAATTTGGTGGGATTGATGAGGAGAAACCAATTTAATAACTGACAGACATTGTGAACAGATCACTTACCTAACTGTTCAGCCAGGTGCCGGCCCTTCTCAGCAGGAACTATACGTTCGTCCTCCATATCACACTTGTTACCCACCAGGATAACCTGGGCATTATCCCACGAATATGTCTTGATCTGGGTGGCCCTGGGAAACCGAGACACAAGACCGTCACGAGGACTTGCACAGAGCATTCCCCCACAAAATACACAGTCACTGAAATCTACAGTATATTCTGTGAAGTGCTTTGAGATGTCTCAATGACATGATAAAGTGCAATATATGTTGGGATTAGATTATAGAGACGGAGACTGTCACGAGGATTTGCACAGAGCATTCCCGTGGCTCCTGTCTGCTTACTCTTTCCTTCAGTTCATTGAGAAACATTGGAGTCCTGTAGCTCAGTGGTTAGAGCACTCGCTTTGCAAGCGAGAGACCTGAGTTCAATTCCAGGCAGAGGGCGAAACCTCGGGCAAGTTTCCTTACTCCACACAGAGCCTAATAATAATCCCTCCAAAACCAAAAACAATAGTAAATTGGTCATTTTCAATCTACGACTGTTTGTGGGACATTGCTTTGCGCAATTGGCTGCTGCGTTCGCTCACAAATATACAGTCAATTCACTTTACAGTGTGTTCTGTGAAGCGCTTTGGGACGTCCTCCCGACGTGAAAAGCGCTATATCAAATGCAAGGAAAAAAAAACATTGACATGAGTGAACAAATAGAGACTTGCTCAAAGTACTTCACAGGGAAAGTGAGGAACACGGAGCAACATGGGAAGTGAGAACAACAATATTAAATTATTAATATATTACAGTATCAAATTCACATTTGATACAGTGCTTTTCACATTGTGAGGATGTCTCAAAGCCCTTCAGGAAAGTCTGTAAGTTTGGATTTATTCGCTAGAGAAGTGATGTTGGGTGGGGGCGCTAATAGAAGTGTATAAAATTATGAAGGGGTTCAATAAGATTAACATAATTAGGCTGTTTCCACTGTCTGAGGAATCTGTAACCAGTGATCTAAACCAAAACTTCGGAGGAACTACTTCACACAGAGGGTAGTGAGAGTGTGGAATTCGCTGCCTGTAGTGGTGATTGAAACAGATAGTGTAGACACATTCAAGAAGAAGCTAGACTTTCACATGAGGTAGAGGGGAATAGAAGGGGAGGGAGGGAGGAGTGGGTGAAGACTTGTGTGAAGTATAAACACTAACACGGACTGGATGAGCTGTGCGGTCTGGTTGTGCTGTACCATCTTTGTAAATGTTTGTAATCTGTCATATACTGTAAAGTGTAGTGACTGTGTATTTTGTGGGCAAACAAAGCAGCCAATTTGCACACATCAATGTCTCACAAACAGCCATAAAGTGATAAATCAATTGTATCTGAGGGGTTGTTGGCCAAGACACTGGGAGCGAGAAACTCCCTTCTCATTTTGAATAGTGCTTTTGGGATCTTTAGCTTCCACCTGAACAGGAAGATGGGACCTTGGTTCAAAGTCTCATTTGAAGGACTCATCTGCGAGTGACAGTCTAATCAGTGAGTTCAAAACCCCAGGTTTGAATTCACAACCTCCCAACTCAGCAGTGAGAGTACTATCGAACAAGCCAGGCTGACAGGTAAATAATGATTATGTAGACTCACCAGTCCTGCACTGCACTGTAGGAATCTGCATTGGCAATGTCATACATCAGGATGAATCCCATGGCTCCTCTGTAATAAGCCGTGGTGATGGTCCGGTAACGCTCCTGTCCGGCTGTGTCCTGTAACAAACCTCAGTGTTAGTCCAGGCAGTCGATTGTCCAGCTGTTCACAAACTGGTTCTTGGGGAGTTTCTCGTAACTTTATAGACCAGTTAGTGTGAGAAGCAAAACATCTGATTCTTTCCCTGCAAACATGAATCTTGACCTAGACATGAAAATGACGCAGGATTTTCAACACATTCAAGGCAAAACACAGGAAACTGAGGAACGGAGACATCAAAACAAAACTCAGAAGATTAACAGAAGGGCTGTTGAGATTGCTCCAAAAAATCACAGACTCAATTTTCTATTTGTGAAATACAAGCTGGTGGTGGAAGCTAAGAATGCTTTCTTTCTCCATTAAAGATCTTTAAGGAGAAGTGAACCAGACCTTTAGAATCCTGGCTATTATCATAAGAGGCCTTCAACTCACCCATCAGCAGTGCGTCAAAGCATCTCCTTCCTGGAACAAATGCAGCTATGTCAAGGTCTGACCAAGAAGCTAGTGGATGAGAGATTAGTTCAGTCTCACAATTATTAAGAGGAACATGCTGAGAGAGGTTTGGCCAGACAATTGGGTACAGCACTGATAGAAACAACTCTGGTTTTTGCTTAATTAAGATCCATTTCTGCAACAGTTTTTTGTTAAATAAAAAACCTCTTTCGACATGTAAACACTTCTGTCCCAAGGAATCCTTCAAGAATGTTTTGCATTTGATACGGTGTCTCATCATGTCGTTGAGACACTGATATCATTGTGCCCAGTGTAATGAGAGCTATTGCGACATCACAAAGACGTGATAAGGCACTATATCAAATGCAAGTATTATTACTATTATTATTATTGCAGGCAATGGGTTATGTAATTGACAATCATTGAAAAAAGAATTGAGTGCTTGTTACTTAATAAATGTTTTGAGTTGGCTGTTACTGACATAATTAAGGAGAAGGGCGATAAGGCTCTATATCAAATTCAAGTATTATTATTATTAATTTCCTCTACCCACATGCTTTTAGACATGGCTCATAATACCTCACACAATAATAATAGTAGTCTCATACAATAGCAGTCTCATATGTGCCATGTCTGTTATGTGATAATCTCACATGTGCCATGTCTCACACATGATAATCTCACATGTATCAAGTCTGACACGTGATAATTTCACATGTGCCACGTCTGACACATGATAATCTCAGATGTGTCAGGTCTGACACGTGATAAGTCTGACATTTAGCAGTTTCCGCTGTGTCTGTCGCTCGTCCCTGGGGGTGATGTCATCACATCACACAGTTACCGATAGGAATATCTATTTTCTCTCATGTAGATAAGACAAACATTGGTTCCTGCTGCTTTAAGGTCAATAATATCAGCAAAAGGTCTCTTCTTATCAGTGTTCACGGCACATTACCACAATAGGAATTCTAATCCTTACACTATTGTGATAATAATAATAATAATGATCCTTGATAGAATATTGTACTTTGCTACAATTGCAGCTGATGAGAACAGCAGGGATTTACATGGGTTTCACACACCTCACCTCACACTCCAGCAATACCTCACCTCACACTCCAGCATTGCTGGAGAATTACCCCATTCTTCAGACCAATGGACTCAATGCCAAATTGTGTGGATTTAACTGGTTAGACTCCAGCAGTTACCCCAACACACACTCTTTGGATACCATGAAGCACGGTGATGGGTTTCCACACGTGTCAGAGACCTGGCTAGGAAAAAAAGACTGAAGCAAATAACCGTGAGGGGGGAAAAAGCAGCGCTAACTTTCACTCCATGTGTGGACAAGTGATTCCATCAGCAATAAACTCCGGCTGCCCAAGTCACCCACCGCAGTGACGCACAGTGACTCGAAGCTCCAGGACTGATATTACCCCCAGGAGCTCCTAGCCACAGACAAGGTGGGAAGATGAGCTCGCTAATGTCAAGGCTGGTGACTCATCATCCACTAACACAGCCTCTCACAGACAGGAATAGCAACTCGGATCACAGCACCTCACAGGGCACCAAGACCCTGATCAATCACAGCAAAGCCAGTGCAAGTGCCAACATTTGGCAAGTTAATCAACACCCATTGTTCAGCACCTTGGGATGTCCTCCCAACCTGAAAGGCGCGACATTAATGTAAACTTGTATTGTACTGCAAATTAAAGAAGAAACAATAGTGGAAATCCTTTAAAAACTATTTTTTAACAAAGCCTCTGTGAACTCTAAACAATCCAAATGTAATGTGTGGGGATATTAGTGAACAGCGGATCATAGGTTGGTTCAAAGGGACCCAAATTTCACCCAGTTTTAGTCAGAAAAGCATTTAATCCAAAAGGTTTCAGAATTGCGTTTTCCGACTTAATTTCGAAACCAGTTTTTTTTTAAAAGTTGCAGAAATAGGCATCCAAATTACAATTGAATTTAAGATGTTTTCCCCCATGTTTGTGTGTGATCTTAAATGCTAAGAAACTCTAAAAGTCTTGGAAGTATGTGATTTGTTGTTGTGTCTGTCTTGACAGATGCAAATTTGGGGCCAAGTGTTTAGAAGTAAAATGCTGTCAATACTGTCAGAAGTAAAAAACTTACAGAAAGGAGCTGGGGTTTACCACGGCTCCCACACCCTTCACACTGCCAAATGAAACCAAAGGAATTGCACAAAGTCAAGAAGTTTAAAGCAGAGTATCTGACTCCAAACCCCATTACTGTAGGAACTCCAGCATCAAAATGCCTTGTAACTGGGGCTTTACATTGTTGTTATGCTGCTGGAACCATAGAGTCTGTTTCTTTTCCTATGTGCAAATGAACAGAGACTGGATAGAACAACAACAAATGACATACTTGTGCGTCTACTTAAAACAAAATGAAATAGTCACATCAGAGCTTACAAACCTCATGGGCTTGAGTCTGCACATGAAGCCCGCAAGCACATTGTTAATGTATTTGCTGTCTGCACAGATAGACTTTCTAGCAATTGGCATATGCTTCAGGGGATTATATATTCAATGTACAGTAAGATCCTGAATAACTCGACTCTGGCTTAACTTGTCACTACCACTTAAGTCACCGCGCTGTCAATATCCCAGCCACATTTATTTATGTATTTATACATGTACCTAACTCGCCATTCTTTATAACTCCTCACTCAGCCCCTTTCCCTGGAGCTCTGAGTTATCAGTTTGCTGTATATATTTCACAATACTGAATTTGGGTGAAACGCAGCAGCCAATTGTGCAGAGCAGTGTCTCACAAAGAGTTGTGGATTGAGCGACCACATTTTTTTTGAGGGATTATTACCCCCGGAAAGTGATCCGCCAATCGCCTAACAACTGGGAACCTATTTGCTGACAAGTAATTACCTTTGATTACTGTACACAGAGACGTGTGGAGTAAGTAAATTTGCCTAAGGTTTCGCCCTGAAATCAAACCTGGGTCCTCTCGCTTACGGCGAGTGCTAACCACTGCACTAAAGGACTTCAGATGCAGGCGGTGGTTTGGTATCTCTCGCTGGAGATTGGAGAGATGTCAGTGTGTCTTGTGGACAAACAGGCTGAGATTAGGAAATGAATTAAGCAGAGAGTTGCAGTAACAAACTCAAGATCCACCATTGCATGGCAACAGAACACAGTCAGTCAGTCCCTCTGCACCATTAGTATTCAGGTAACATGCATCAGCAGAGCTGTTAGAACCTGTTAATAACACAGGACTGTGCAATCTACAGGGGGTTTGCAGATTCAGTCTCTGACACCAATGGCAACAGCAACAGCACTGGGAAACCAGGAACTAACAGATGGTTGGGGGAGACTTACTGTGATGCTTACACACACTGGCCTGAAACTAATTCAGCATTGCACACTGCTCACACTCAATCCCTGCACACACACTGCTCACACTCAATCCCTACACACACACTGCTCACACTCAATCCCTACACACACACTGCTCACACTCAATCCCTACACACACACTGCTCACACTCAATCCCTACACACACACTGCTCACACTCAATCCCTGCACACACACTGCTCACACTCAATCCCTACACACACACTGCTCACACTCAATCCCCACATACACACTGCTCACACTCAATCCCCACATACACACTGCTCACACTCAATCCCTCACTGCTCACACAGAATCATTCACTGGTCACACTCAATGGTTACCCCTCCTCCTGGTTTCTGTGCCAGCCAAAGAGACTGTGGATATTGTAAAATATATTGATGTAATAACTGTGCTCCTGTGTGCAGAGCTTCTGCTCCAGGGCCACAGCATGGATTCCAAGCCGATCAGAATACGCTTTCTGCACGGGGTCAAACAGTATTTCCTATTGAAACCTTACTATTGCTCAGTGAACTTCAGTGAAAGGGTTACAGTGGATGATTAATGATGTGCAATGAGTTACTCAAGAGCACAAAGGTTTGCACCATGGAATGGGCTGCTTGTGATTACAGTTGTTCACCTCCACATGTCTTGAGTATTTTCACAATGAGTCAATGGTTGGTGGGTTCTCACAGGGCAAACTGACGATTAATTGATCTCACTTTCCCCATCGTGACTTTAGCGAGTATTTGCATGGGGGAATGTGTAGGTGTGTGAAACAATACTAATTGAGGTAATCATGGCAAGATGCGAAGAATAATGAAGAAGGTGCACAGATTGCTTAGCAGAGCGGGCAGATAGGGGGCAGATGAAGTTTAATGTTGAGAAATATACAAAATGTAAGCGAATGGAAAAAAACACCTTCCCATTTAATTCTCAAAGCTTTTTAAAATCCCACCCACCTAAGGGTTAGGGTTAAGGTTGTTCATGTGTTGTTTTCACTTGCTGGTGACTCTAAAACTGGAGACCGTAAATTTAAGATAATAATAATAATAATAAACCTGCATTTAATATACAGGTAGGACCTTATCACTTCATTGAGGTATCTCAAAGTTCTTCACATGTTTTATAGTAAAATGGATTGACTGCGTATTTTGTGGGTGAAACATGGCAGCCAATTGTGCACAGTAG